TTAATGCGTAATTTAAAAGAAAATGTGACGAACTTGAGAGGACCGTGGCAACCAGCGGAGCTCCAAGGCTGACGGAGCTGACATCATTTCAGAATTCCCTGACTTTTAACTGACTCAGGATTAGTTTTCCCTGACAAAATAAATGCAGCCGTTTGTCGTTTTGGTAACTACATCAAAATCACGCGAGAATGTGTACAAAACTACAAAAATGGCAACGCTTCTGGGTCGTTTTCATCAAATGTCGGTGATTTTAAAGTAATTTTGACTGATAAATAATTTTTTGCCCGGCGGTCAAATGCAATGAAATGTGTACCCTCCCAACAATAAAAACTACTTGCCCCGGGCGATCGGTCGATGGTTAACATGGAGCCCTGGGGGGGTCTACTTCAGAGACATAGACAGGTATGGGGCGTTGCAGGCTAAAAAAGAAGCCAAACGTCCCCCATAAAAAACAGGGGGGACCTGTTCTTGAATTTCTATTTGCATGTTTTCTGAAGAAAAACGTTTTTTTGTGCTACTGTACAAAGCAACTCAACGCTATTTCTGACATTTTGATTTGAAAAAGTTTCCTGGATTGGAAGCGAACACCAAAACGCAAAATCTGGTGGATTTTTTTAAAATTGTTTAACTTTTTTGTAAGGTGGGAGGAAAGCTAAAGGAGTCAGGAGAAGATCAGGCTGACTCCTTTGAAGGTTCTCCATGTTCTACTGAGCAGATCCAGAACTTCCTGGGTTGCCTCCCAAACATCAGCTGGACACGCGGGCTTCCATCCTGGACCTGGTACCTCCAGGAACTAATCTCAGAGAAGCAGACGGTCGAAACAAGCCAGCTCATTGAACTGTGACCCATTTGGAGCAGTTCAGACCCCCGTGGACCAGAACGTCCCACTCAGCTTCATGTTTTAGGCTCTAAAAGGCTGTTTATGTTTACAGCTTTGATGCTTTCATTTAGAGAAAGAATAAGATGTAAAGATATAAAAGCTTCAGCCAGCAGCCTCTCTGGGTTTTTATTGATGTTCTGCTATAAACTTCGTCATTCAGCAAACAGAGTGTTTTTTGCCCCTCAACTGCAGAAATTTAATTGAGAACGTGTTCTCCACTCCAAGTCCAGAGTTAAGGTCATCCTGGGCTGTTTACGGCCGGCCGACCGGATTATCCTCGCTCATTATGCTCGCTGTTTTGATAGCGGGCCTTTGAGATAAGGCGGCTGCTGGAAAATGCATTAGTAGCTGTTCAGATTTCCATCAGTGCAGCTGCCAGATGCTTTCTTTGTTTACACTCCATTTACCAGCGAGGTCCTTCAGTCCTGCAAGAGGCTGAAGGAAACGGACGGCCAATTTCTTATTCCCTGAGGGACAAAAGAACTTCAGATTTAAAGGACTGGATGACAAATGTTTACAAATGAGTTTAAGAGCAGAAAAGGTGAAAAAGAAAAAGCTCCCATCATGAGCAGCAGGTTTTCAGGATTCTCTCCCTCAGGAAGTCGATTCTGTCTCACATGAAACTTAAATGCTTGAACTATTTAAAACGAGGAAAACCAGAAAAAAGAAGTAAATTTCAGTAGAGATTCAGAATTGAGTTGGCTGCAGCGTTTGGACCCGTTCTGATCCGCCTCTGGCGCTCTGACAGCTTATCAACGAGGGGCAAACAGGACAGCCTGGCCCCTCGCCCGGAGTCTGGCAGAGCGGCGCCATCGGGGAGCCGAGCGGCTCTGCGTGAGAAGGTGGAGGTCCAGCTGAGAGACACCAGGAGCCCAGATGTGATTCCCATCAGGACCGGATCATCTGGAAGTGGATCGGCTCGCGGTGGGACTCAGTGTAAAGGTGACAGAAGCACAACGCTCCTCTGATCAGATCAGGGTTCAGTTCATGAATATTTTATTGATTCAGTAGGAAGACCTGCTTCATGTTCTGTATTTACTACATCTGAGCTCCAACATCCGCAGCATGTCTGGACTTCTGTTAGCAACACGAATGTAAAAACTTTATTTAGTATCTGCTGATCCAGAGATGTTATGTGAAAGTAAATGTTTTTAATACATTCAGCATTAACGTTCTTTTTGCTTTTCCACATTAAACTACGACAGTAACCTTTCATTCATGCTGAAGCCCATTTAGTCATTTCTAGAAGGCTGAAAATCCAACATAAAATGCAAAACCCTTAAACTGATTTAATAACCAGCCTCAGAGCTCAGTAACGTTTATCAGGCTCCTCTCCTGTGGAACCAACTACCAGTTTTAGTCCGTGAGGCAGACACCCTGTCTACTTTTAAGGCTAGGCTTAAAACTTTCCTTTTTGATAAAGCTTCTAGTTAGAGTGGCTCAGGTTATCCTGAGCTATCTCTATAGTTCTGCTGCTATAGGCTTAGACTGCTGGAGGACATA